GCCAGCACGCGCCCTCCGTAAAGCAGGCCCAGTCCCCGATCACCGTCGGCCCCAAGCATGAGACCAGCGCCGAGGGTGAAAATCGAAGCGGCAAATATCAGACCCCATTTCCTCCCCCAGAAATGACCGATGGGGTAGGCGAAGAAAGCCCCAAAAAAGGCGCCAGCCTGGTAGCAGGAGACGATGTTGGCGCTCACCAGATTGACCGCGGTTTTACTCATGGTGTTGAAACCAAACTCCTCCCTGAAAGAGCTGAGGGCAAGAGTGGTCCCGATAAAGGCACTGTCATAGCCAATCATGCATGATGTGAAGGAGGCCACTGCGGCCAGCAGGTAAATCCTCCAGTTGTAGACTTCCTTTGGAGTTGGCCGATCTTCGACCAGAGCGAGGATGGACATTTGGGCAATCTATGACTCCAGATACGATAATGTCAATTGAATGGTACTAGGGGTGACTGGCAGGTGAGAAGAAAGTCGATGGAGGCATCAACTTCATCTAAATAGCCAGCAAGCCACAGCTGGGGATAAACAGTCCACGCGACGAAGAATCCGGGGATAGAAAGCGTGGAGATGTGGAGGCGGAGTGAGTTGCTAAGAACTCTGGTTAAACCATTAAAGCGCCATAATGCAGTGGAAGGAGAGCATTCGGAAGAAAGAATATTAAACTTTGCATCGTCTAAACGTTTAACAATAAGAATGCCGGTCGTCCATAGCACCCTTAGCATCCGGGGACGAACTCCGATACCGCTGAGAGTAAGTGAAAGAAAGGCTGTAGGATCCGAGCATACTCAGATTATGACTCGTCGTCAATGGGTCCGTGTCTGGAAAAGGGATACGCCGGCTGAAGTTGAGTTTGTGGAACGACTCTTGAGACTTGAAACTGAGAAATGTGGTTCCCCACGGGGCAATCCATGTGGCGATCCAGCAGTGCAGAAGCCAAGCACAGGGCGGAAAAGCGCTCTCCCCGTGAGGCAGTTTACCATTCGTATTATTAGTGCTTAAGCCAAACTCCTAGCGTAGCTTGGCACTCGGATGTCGTCCGAGAGCCAGCTGATTAGAATTGATTCTTTTCAGTATGGACGTTCGCTTGATGAGATGAGATCATGACAATAATTTGATAACCTTGAGTTATGTGAGTGATAAAGGTGATGCTGAAATGAGAGGAATCCGAAGAAGAAAGTGATGGAGATGGGAGAAAGACTGGGGATGGCTAAGCAAACATCCGAGTCACGGGTAGCTAAACGTTTCTCCGGGATGCAACTACGAACTCACTAGTACAATCTACGTCCTAGGTAGTATGTTAAGTATCAAGTTTCCATACATCATCTATTTCCAAGCGTGAATTGTACATCGATCTCAACCTGGATACCGTCAAGTATCCTCCTGCTGCAGCACCATGGCCTCTCAGATCATGGATATCGTCTCAGAACAACAGCCACCAGAGGAACCCATCAGCATTCCCGACCACTTCGATGGAGTAGCATACCTCTACGGGCATCCTCTGCTCAACTCCCTATCTCCACCTCTCCATCAAACAATATACCAAGCCCTCAATCTGAACTGGACCCAGATCCCCCTCTCCAGCGTCTACGGGACATCAGAATCCTACCCTCCACCATACACCCGCTCCCCCCCGATCCCCAAATTCCTCGCGTCCATCAAGTCCAACCCCAAGTTCGTCGGCTCCTCCGTGACCATGCCCTGGAAAGTCACCATCATGCCACACCTCGACGACCTCACCGAGGACGCCCGCCAAGCCGGCGCCTGCAACACCATCTTCCTCCGCCCTGAAGCAGACGGCTCCACCTCCTACGTCGGCACAAACACAGACTGCATCGGCATCCGCGAGGCTCTTCTCCAAAATTCCACCGGTGAGGATGCCTTCCGCAACAAGCCCGCCCTCATCGTCGGCGGAGGCGGCACCGCACGCTCAGCCATTTACGTGATGCGCAGGTGGCTCCGCTCCAGCACAATCTACATCGTCAACCGTGATGCCGCCGAAGTAGCTGCCATCCTGGAAGAAGACAACCAGCGCAACCCCTGCCCGAACAAGGCGGCGCTCGTCCATGTGACGGATCCCGCGGTGGCGGCTCGTCTGGAGCCTCCTGCCGTCATTGTCTCGGGAATTCCCAATTACCCTCCCAAGACGCCGGGCGAGATCCAAGCGAGGGAAGTGCTACGCGCGTTTTTAGGCCCGAGCCCTGAGACGCCGTCTGACTTCAAAGGCCCGATTCTGGAGATGTGCTATCACCCGGTGCCGTGGACGGAGATTGCGCAGTTGGCCTCGACGGCTGGGTGGAAGGTGATTCTCGGCTCGGAGGCGTTGCTCTGGCAGGGGTTGGAGCAGGCAAGGCTGTGGACGGGTAGGGATGTGGTTGCTGAGCCTGGGCTGGTGGATAAGGTCAAGGAGGTGGTGGGCAAGTTGATTGCCGAACGGGTGCCATCCAAGTCAAATCTATAGCCTGCATGTATGATAGATTGCTGTACATAGACTGTTCTCTAGCGACGAATACATCTCCATGAAGCTTATGCACCAGGTCGTGTATAATCCAACTCCCTCACTCGCTTCCACACTTCCCTCACAGTTCTTTCCTGCGTCTGCCTCCCCGTCTCGGTCTCGGACGGCCCAGCCGGCCGAATAGCCAAATACAACCGACCGCCCATGCGCACCTCCTCTATGGGATCCGTCTCGGGATTCGCAGGCGGGTTCGCCGTCGTGACCAGCCCCCCGGCTTCGAGCAGAATTGCTATCCCAGCAGCCACATCCCTGTTCCCACCCACAAATCAGCCAGTGTTTTCAAAGTTGAAGTGGAAAAAAAGAGGATATACCACTCCCAACAACCCCCCTCCCACCAAATATCGACCGCCCCCATAGCCGTATACGCCAGATCCAACGTCGCACTCCCCAGACTTCGCACCCCGTGCACCATTCCCCCGCTCTCAGCAGCCATATTCACAAAACTCTGAACCTTGCGCGACAGGTTTCCCCCGGGAATATCCCGTCTGTCCTTGCCCCACTCACACGCAAAAATACACCCCCTCGGCGCGGTGGGTGGCATCGGCGGGATCGGGGTGCGGCGAAGCGGCAGACGGCGCGAGCCGCGGGGGTCGTTCAACCAGGCGCCGCGGTTGACACAGGAGGAGAAGAGCTGGTTCGTGACGGGGGCGTAGATGACCCCGATAACTGGGCGGTGGGCTACCAGAAACCCGATCGAGACGCAGAACATGGGGAAGAGGTGCGTGAAGTTGACGGTTCCTGACCAGCTTAGCTTACCACTACCCTAGCTACAAGTGAGTGGGTTGGAAGGAAGGAGGGATACCGTCTAGAGGGTCGATGCACCATGTTGGATGTGCGTCGATGAGGTACTCGCGTGATTGACCCTGTGCGTAGGTTTCTTCGCCGAGGAATCTGGTTGGCGAACTGTCAGTGTGCGCTTGGTGGAGGAGCAGGTGAAGGGTGGTCTGGACAGACTTGTGCTTGGGGTATCTAGTCTGAATGGCGGTTTTGATGAATGTTTCCACGTCTGTGATTATAACTTAGTTCACGATGTTACTCCTTTCTGGTAGATGGATGCGGTAGATTTGGGATACCCTCGTCAGTTTGCGTGACAATGTCAACCGCGTTGTCCTTCTCTGAGTATGCGGATGCGGTCTCGCTGTCGCTTGCGATCTGCTTCTCGATGCGCTCGAGGAGAAGATCGCCGGCCTTGCGGCCGAGATCGATCGCAAAGGCGTAGATCTCGTCTAGTTGTGCTTGGGTAAATTCTATGGCCATCTTGTTCAAGTTCCTCTTGAAGTATGGATTGTGTATGTAGATGGGAAGATAGTTGAGTAAGAGAGATCGCAATGAAGTCAATGGACTGGATGTCCTCAAGAAACGAAGAAACCCGTGAGTAACCGCACCGGATATTTTGCATAGCGAGAATCATACCACGGAATACTGGTAATCGACTGGGGAGATTGTATCCATATTCTACCTTAGAGATCTCAGATGACCGCTCATCGACAGGCTACGAGGCCAGGCCACTCTCGACCTTGGCGTATGAAGCATTACACCAATGACACGATTAATAGGCAATAGATGTGGAATTTCTCTTCATGATAATTACAGTAATTGCTATACATCTCCTCTCATCCGATGCAGTTGGTCAGTAGGGCCAGCTCCCCGGTTGAGAGCGGCCTGTTACTGTAATTCTCTCCGGCAAAGCGCTCTTCCCTCGGGCTTTCGTTTCCCCATACTCCAAGGAAACCACCCCGCAATCCACATCATTAGGCAATATGTAGTCTCTGGATGTTTACAACAGACAGATAGATTATCCATGGTATAGAATAAGACAGCCGATCTCGTAGACTGTATAGATCTCACTTCCTTGCAACCACTACTTTCAATCCCGCTGTAAGAACCTCAAACCTAAACATCAATCGACTCCGCCATGGGCAAATCAATCCTCCTCATCAACGGCCCCAACCTCAACCTCCTCGGCACCCGCGAGCCCCAGATCTACGGCAGTACAACACTCGCCGACGTCGAAGCCTCCTGCAAAGCCCACGCCGAGTCGCTAGGCGCCACCCTAGCCGTCTTCCAGTCAAACCACGAGGGCGCAATTATCGATCGCATCCAGGCCGCCCGCGGGACCGTCGACGGCATCATCATCAACCCCGGTGCATTTACGCATACCTCTGTGGCGATCCGGGATGCGCTGCTCAGCGTAGAGATCCCCTTCATCGAGCTGCATGTGAGCAATGTGCATGCGCGCGAGCCGTGGAGGCACCATAGCTATTTCAGTGATAAGGCGGCGGGGATTATCGTTGGATTGGGGGTGTATGGGTACAAGGTTGCCGTGGATCATGTGGCGTTGAACTTTAAGGAGAGGGCGCTTTTGTAGCGGCATGTCGGCTAATTCATTTCGTATACCCTATGTACATCCGTATCAATGCACATCAAGCGTCAGGCTCAAATACAGTTCATGATGCCGCCGTTTGTAACGACTGATGTTCTGTTCATCGCTTCTGCTGTGATTCACGCCGTATGACTGTAGAACCCTCGGGAAGTTGCTGGGTCTGTGCCAGAAGAAAAGGCTCCTGACTGGAGTACGAGTATAGCTCTGAAAACCCGGCGTCAGGGACAAACCCCAGATTCTGCATAAACTCGGGCTGGTGGTCACCCCTGTCCAGTCATCAGCATCGGCCAGCAGTCGACATGCGAAAAGACGTCACTCACTTCTCGGTACCGTCCAACGATGCCAGCTCGTCAAATAATGCATCAAGATCTGGCGCAATCCGCGGTCGGCGTAGAGATGCATATCCTTCAATATCAACAAATGTCCCAAGGTGCAGATTCGGATCACTATACGTCTGCTGGTACTGGGGCGTGTTTACGGGAAAGGGTGATGGTATGTCTGGTATTGTACTTCTGTCATTGATGAGTTTTGGAGCGGACGAGATCGAAGAACGAGGTCCCTGGGTGGGGATTTGTAGTTGGGCAGCGTGACGCGTAGGTCCGGCGGTTCCCCTGACGGAAGGTGTGGGTAAAGACAGAGCAACGTTGCCTTCGACATTCGGCGTCCTTGCCCAGGCACTTGTCAAGAACGAGTCCGGTGTGGAGAACATAGCCCGAATCTCGTGTTGTCCACTGCCATCCAAGGGCCGCAAGGCAGGATGGCCAGCCATACTGTCCGACAATGCATCTCGAGCAGGTGCATCAACGTTATGTAGATGACTCAACCGGTCAGCTGCTGACATCGGTACGATCGCATCCTCCACTCTCAGTGAGAAGCCAGCTCCCTCTGTAGCGCTGTCCTGCAACCATACCGTAGAAAGATGCGAGGAGTACGCTTCAAGTTTGTCCTTGAGGCCAAGATCAAATTCAAACGTCCCTGGCGCATCCTTCCTCTCCCCCGGGGAGATACCGAACGTCAAAAGCATTCCAAAAATTGGGCTTGTCGCCGCCAGGCTATAAGTTTCCATGTATTTCTGCAACAGCAGCAGGAGTCTCTTTAAGCTCTCAATCGCACGACTCTTTCTCGTGTCTGACATGTGTTTATCCCCCTGGCGTAGAGTATCCAAAGATAAAGCAGTGACGCAGCTTTCAAACATCATTTCCAATCCAAATACATGAGGCGAGGCAAGCCTTGTCGGACTTTGCAAGTCAACACGGTAGCTTTTAGGGAGGGCCGACACCCAATGTTGTAACTGGCGTTCTAGCGCCTCGAGTTGTGGTGTCGGATTGCTCTCCAATTGCTTTGTGCAAGAAGCCTCGTTCAAGATGCACATCAAAGAGACCAGCCGGTTGAATGTGCTGAGAGCATGAAGAGGCCCACGGTGGGAAGGACCACGCGACGATTCTGGGGGCCGCAGACCGGTCTGATCTTCCCAAGGATGCCATTCCTCCAGACCATCCTCATTGATCGGGCCGGTCTTGACAAGATCCTCTTTGCGTAGCGACGGTGCCTGACCAGTCTTGATGGCAATCAGTGTTTCCAGTACGAAACAGCCTAAAAAGACATGCTTTGACCGTGCCGAGCCCTTCTCATCTCCAGCCATGCCAGTCAGTGGGGATCCCAAACCCAGCCACCGTGCAGTTCGAACCGCTTGCCCTACCAGCATCCATGCAGCATTCCATTCTTGTTGTCCGAGTTTAACTAAGGATAATATCAACAGCGCCTGCACATGCCCAATCTCATGCATGCCGTCCTCAGCGGGTATCAACGCTTTTGCCGTGGCGTACAGCTGACTAGAGCGTGGCCGGTTATTCAGACCGGCCATCTGACGGGTGGCGGCGATAGACCTCTCTTGCATGGACGCCAGAGTTAAAACTGCCCAAAGGGCAGCATAGTCCCCGGACCCTGCGGTCCGAGGCGAAATTTGCACATTATCTTCAGACTGCCGGAATGCTGTTCGAAGTATATCATGCTTCTCGAGAATGGGAAACCAACACTGTGTGTAAGAAAAGTAGACATCAAGCAGTGTCCACACATTGGAGGGAAGTCGAGGGGCGTTTGAGGCTTGTGATTGTATGAGAGGCGGCGACAACAGGTTCCCTGTAGAGGCGCCAATGGTATCTGAACTGAGGACTGTCTGGATGCCGCTGTCTTTTGTGATACGAGGTGGCGGGTGACTGGGGAAAGGTCCAGATGAGGGCGTTTTGGAAGGAGATAGACCAGTAGTCTGTGATTCTCGATACGCATCCGTGACACCTTCAGGTAGCTGCCACTCAAGGGTGTCCGAGAGCGCGCTGCTCCCCCCAGCTTCCGGAGAGTCCATCTCCCCAGGTCCACGAATTGCCTTGTCCTGTTCCTCTTCGGGCTGGTCCAAAAAAGTCAACATGCGCTCTATCTCTTTGAGAACAATGCTATTCTTCCAGGACGAGACAAGGTCATCGGAACCCTCCGCCTCTTTGCCCATATTAGCCAGGTGACTCGGCATATTGGCTGCCCTGAGCAAGGCGCGGACCGCCTCCTCGCTCCCCTTTATCTTGCAAAAGACAAGCCCCCATAGCAACTCCAACGTGCGAATGTATCCGGTCGGCAGGCCTCGCTTCTTGGGGTTGGTCTTATAGGTGCAAGGTCGGCATAATGATGCGCAAGTCGAGCAGACCGGCTGCACCCCATCGCATTTATCCTTTTTGGAGCGACAGCTGTCACAGGCACGCGACACTCGCTGCCGCTTGGATTGCGCGGAATTGTCGTCAGCAGCCATGCGTCTGGCATCTTCGTCGGCGTCGGTCAATCGCCGTTTTGACCTGCTACCGGCCTCTGGGGCTTGGCGCATATCGTTGCTCATGTTTTTCTGTCCAACGGGCCACTAGAGTGTTCTGGACGCATAGTCATGTTTGGCCTGTTATCGCCGAGATGAACGCTTTGCCGGACGTTGATGTGATTGATCGACCTGTGTCTTTGCCGCTTGAGTTTCGGGGAACAGGTACATAATCTAGCCTCGTTAAAGGCAAGCTCTTCCTAATCAGATCAAGACACGTATGAAGCTAAATCCAATTGGAGATAGAATGTGTGGTATCAGAAATGTGTGTCTCGTTTGCCAGGGCGGAGAAGAGAAACTTGAGGGAGGCCTCTTTTGCTGGGAGGTCGGGGAGAACCACAAACTGCTTACCCGCGGCGGCAGTGATGCTAGGTCTTGGCTCATACGTACTCGGTTGATGTCAGAATAGTAAAATTAATATTTGTCTCCTGTCAGGAAATACTACATTCGATATAATTCCAATGGTCGCCTTCTGATTGAGCAAATTAGCAAATGCTGCCAGACCCTAGAACTCCGGGGATGATGGCCCCAGGCATCCATTACTGACCTTTTCGATCTCCGCGGGGTAAATTACGTAAAGTGACAGTATGATGCGCGGCAGAGTGTTTGTCCGCTGTGCCTCAGGCCACCAGGCACGAAGGGGTCTTCCCCTCCGGCCACGAAGAATTGAGGACAGTCTGACGCTGTCATACTATCCCTCGCAGCTTGCACTATTTTGTGTGGCCGCTTCACTTCTTTTGGATCCAGGAGGAATATCGTACGGTCGAATTTGATTGGCGTCTTCTCATATTAATGGATACATTGGTCCTTTCGTCCTGACCGCTCACCTTGAATCATCCCTCACTCGCAGCTTCTTTCAATATGTGCAGCTTTAGAGTCTCCGAATGCTCATGATCTTCAAATCCAAGTCTTCCTTCAAACGACATGTCGATCCTAGCGAGGCCGGCAAAGCGCAAGTTGGATGAGGTTGAAGGGCTGGAGGCACCAAATCGACACCTTTTTACCCGGGGCAGTCGCATCGCCTCAGACGCGATCCAACCATCAAGCCTCACATCTGGACATGATGTTGCTCTTCCTAGGCCCGATTTTTTCCCGAGGCAGGAACAGTCGGATGCGTGTGGCGAACATCATTGGTACTCAAACTCTCCGCGCACTTTGAACTCGAATCGCGCATCCCCAACACGCCTCGGAAGTCCTCCTGAAACACAGAGGATTTTCTCTCCTAATGCGTCGATTGTATTGATCGGTATCCGTGGTACGGGAAAGTCCAGTCTCGCCGTCATTCTCGCCGCGACCTCAGGAAAGCGAATGATTGATGCGGATCAATACTTCCAGCAGGTGACGGGTCGTTCCCGGGCTGCATTCAAGAAGGAATATGATCTCGCCGAGTATCGTCAGCAGGAGGCCCGAGTGATGGAGTCAATGCTTGCAGAACACAAAGAAGGGTGCGTCATTGCGTGCGGACCGGGATCCATGGAGCGCAGCGGGCAACAATTGCTGCGAGAATATGCGAAGACGCATCCTGTCATTCACATTATTCGAGACTCCGAAAGCATTCAGTCGTATTTGAAAGCCTGGGATACGGTCAAAGTCCGTCGGTTTCTAGAGCTTTCTGGCCCGGTATATCGGGGGTGTTCGAACCTGGAGTTTTTCAATGTCTCCGAGAAGGGTCTCACGGACTACGCAGGGAAAGACAACCATAACCACTCGCCGTTGGAGTTGGAACTCGATCAGCGATCTCAAGCCTCCACTCCCTTCTTGACTCTCAAGCGGTTGCAGCGCGATTTCTTGAAATTTGTTGCCTTTGCAACCGGGGACAGTACCATCCTGAGTGGTCAGCAAGCGTCGTTTCCACTGTCGATGCAGCCGGTTGAGTCTCGTATGTTCACCTACGCTGTGACCGTGCCAATATCATCCTTGTTTGAGCGGGAATTAGACATCGAGGATCTGGAATCCACCGCCGATGCGTTTGAGCTCAAGGTGGATATAACGGAAGCTTGTTCCGACGACCAAGGCATTGACTCGGCTCTGGCAGACAGAATAAGTCAAGCTGTGGCGACTATCCGACGGAACATAGTCATTCCCCTGATATACCATGTCGAAAGTAGTTTGAGCCTTGTAGGTTCCCCTGTGCAACACAACGGGCCCTTACGCCGCTCGGACGATGCATACCTGAATCTTAGCAAACACGGGTTACGACTAGCTCCTGAGTACTTGACGGTTGATCTCTCCTATAGCGATGATGTTCTATCACAGATTATTGCTTCCAAGGGGACGAGCAAAGTGATTGGGCATTTTGCATGGTCCCAGCCTTGCCCAAGAGGTTGGGAGGATGCGGAACCACTGGCAATGTACGAACGAGCCAGGCGACTAGGATGCGATATGGTTCGATTGACGCAGCCGGCAACGACAATTGAGGATAATTTTGCTGTTGAAAGATTTCGTCACCATGTCAGAGGTCTTCCGTGGCAGCTACCCGTGATAGCTTACAATACCACCCCTCTAGGCAGAATGTCGAGCTGCTTCAATCCCATTCTCACATCCGTGACCCCTGCACCACTGTTACCGGAGATGCAGTCCAAGTCATTACCCTGTCTCACCTTGCGTGAGGCGCAAGGAGCGCTCTACGCCTCGTTCGCTCTTGATCCGATGCAGTTCTTTGTTTTTGGCGCGAATGTCACATATAGTCTGTCCCCTGCGATGCACAATGCAGCCTTCCAGGCCTGTGGGATACCGCATAAATATACGATTTACCAATCGCCTTCCCTGCGAGGTTTGAATGAATTGGTCGAGAACCCCTATTTCGGCGGGTCAAGTGTCAGTCTACCCTACAAGACAGAAGTCATTCCTCTTCTCGACTCCATGTCACCGCATGCTCGGGCTATAGGAGCTGTGAACACACTGATACCGATCCGGAAGTTCCCTGATGGCGTTGACACCGCTATTGAGTCTTCTCTTTATCTTGAGAAGAGCCGGGCCGGCCCAACGAAGGCGTTGCACGGAGATAACACCGATTGGATTGGGATAGGAAATTGCTTTCGAAGAGGCCTATCTCCCGCCAATGCGATCCGTCCTTCGTCCACAGGCTTGGTTATCGGAGCCGGCGGTATGGCTCGGGCGGCAGTGTACTCAATGATCCACCTCGGGGTGCAAAACATCTTCGTCTACAATCGTACTATGGCCAATGCAGAGAAGTTGGCTCACCACTACAACCGACAGAACCTTCTGGCACACGGATGGGGAGGCCCGAATTCTCGCTCGAAAGTCCACGTCCTGCAGTCTTTGCAGGATAACTGGCCTGCCGATTACAAGCCACCGACCGTGATTTGCAGCTGCATACCTGCTCATAGTATCGGAGGAGTGCCAGCTCCCAACTTTCAACTACCTTCTCAGTGGCTTGGGAGTCCTACCGGAGGCGTAGTAGTGGAGGTAAGTGAACTGATCCAAGCATTGCGTTAAGAGACGAAGACTAATATCATGCAGCTGGCCTACAAACCTCTCAATACCCCAATCATGAAGCAAATGCGTGCCCTCTCCCATCGAGGCTGGGTTGCCCTTGATGGACTTGATGTTCTCCCAGAGCAGGGGTTCGCGCAATTTGAGCTCTTCACGGGTCGCCGTGCTCCGCGGCGAATAATGCGCAGGATCGTGTTGCAGGAATACCAGGAAGTGGAGGGACAAGAAGAGCAAAGCGCTCTCCAAAGTAGATTGGAAAATCTAGATGGACAGCCTACGTGACCCAGTCTCTCCAGAAAATGGATTCAAGAAACTCTGGCATTTCGTTCGGACAGTACATGATAATTCCGAAATGGGCGGATTTCTCTATGGCCGAAGATCTCACTTTCTACAACCAGGGCAGGTTCTGAAAGGGAGATGCACGATCAAAGCTCACCTGCATGTCCACTACTTCTTGTTCTACGCCAAGCAAAACGGTTGTGTATGTGGTCAGAGGCACGCTGCAAGCGAAAATCAACGTGTCATTCACTTCGTAGCAGCTACCGTATCATCCATCGACCAGAGTCAATTTTCGACAACTTGAGAACACCCTTCCTCATCAGATCCCGACACCAGCTTAACAAAGGCAATCTCGTCGAGGTCACACTCTCAGTTCTTCCGAGGATCCGGCAGTAGTCCAGGCCGAGCCACCAGCACAAAGTTCGCACAGCTCATCCTCGCTTGATCTGACATCCGATGCACGACAATGGACCGATTCCCGAAATAAGCAGGCTCACCCGGCTCCGTCGACAGGTAGAGGTCATTGTACTGCGCTTCAAATCCCTGATGATCCGCTGTGACAATGGGCCCGTGTTTCCCGCTCAGGTCGCCGATCTGGCAAGTCTGCGGGCTCGTCATGTTGCAGGCGGTCTTGTTCCCCCGTCGGTACGGGTCGAAAGGGCTACCGGTTTTGTAGCAGTCGCCGTCGGCGGGGACGGGGTCCTCGTGGATGGAGTATGCTGCGCAGGTTGCGTCAGTCAATGCAAGGAACTAGGAAGGAACTACGTACCTAGAGCTTCATTGTCGGGGATACCCCAGAAGTCGGCGTGGACTTTGACGCCGTCGCCCTCCCGGGGCGCGAAGAGAGTGATCCAGCCGCGGACGGTGGTGTCCTGCCTATGTGGAAGGGTGGCCTCGTACAGAGCGTCGGCGCGGGCATTCGTCACGACGGGGGCAAAGGTGCCGTTTGGAGAGACGGCGAGGGCGGTTGATGAGAGGCTGAGTCTCAGAAGGAGAAGTGTTGTGGCGAGGAGAGACTGCATGTTGTCGCTCTGGTCGCGATTTGAACGAGACGTAGTCTGTTCGCTTTACCAATCGTCTCAGAAGCAATCAGGTTTCCTGGTTGAATAATATTGAATTCAGGGTTGTCCCTGGTCCCTCGCCTACAAGGGCGACTGGAGGAGGCGACTGCGTTTATATTCAACCCTTGGAAGGAGTCAAGGAGCCTGGATGCATCTAGATGTCTGCAGAACTCAAGAACAAAGAGTCACCACTCGATAGGTCGATAGGTATCGAAATAGTAGCAACATTTT